AGGGGAAGGAGGAGAGAGAAATATCACAAAAGGCATCACGGAATAAACTTAGCCGTCCTCCTTCAAGTCCAAAGAGTGGAACGATGTGCTGCAACAACTCAATATTGTTTATTATTTCGGGGTTTGTTTCCTGGTGGAGCAGAGATAAGGAGCTATCCATCACGGCCTCCGTCTGCGACCTGAGGATTCCATTATGGCCCAACACAATATGTTCACGGTTTACATCGAGCAGCGCACAAAGGCAATGCCAAAGAACCAATTTCCTCTTACCTTCATGAATAAAGAATCTCATTCATCTTCCTCTGTGCACATCCATAAAGGCAGACAAGAGGTGAGGGGAGACCCATTATCAAGCTGTCTTCGGCGTTTCAGCAGCGAGTCCGAGCACAAATGCAGGCTGAAGGAAGCACAGCTCTTCTGTTGTTTTCAGGTAGGAAACCCGCCACGTTGAAAAGTTTGAGCTGATTGTGTTGACTTTTGCATTTTTTCTGAAAAACTATTTTTCCGGCTTTATTCTTTTTTTGATCATAAGTGCCACCAAAAAAACGATGGTGACTCTCCTCATGATTCAGATACCCTAAGCTGGTATGTGTCACATTGATTTTTTCACACTGACACTCACACCGAGCCCTCACAATGAACCCATGCTGTCCTCGAATCACCTCACACTGCTGCCAGAGTGACTTTCCGCCCAATCCTTTCATTCAACATTTATTCACGCACAGCTTGCGAGCACGTTCCAGTTCCGCGTTGTCTCTGCAAAGTAGATAACATCGAACATTATGTCGAGCGTTTTTGTGCAGAGTAATGGTGGAAAAAAAATGAAAGAGGGGGAAAAGATCTGGGGAAGATGAAAAACAAATACATCTCCCAACATGATAAAAGTCGAATCGAAATCGCATCAGGGCCCCTCTCTCCGACCGCTGAGTCATGGTTTTGTGTTGTTCAAGCCTCAGGTTGGGAGGGCAGACTGGGACAAACCGCTGCCTCTCCACCTCCCCCCCCTACACTAGTAAAGAATTAGATGACTTTTGAGCATGTCAGCTTCTCGCCACATGAGTATAGGTCAATGTTAAATCACATCAGAGCCACTTTGCTGTAACTGAGTGAGGGATTAATGTGTTTTAGCCCGGTTCCTCGGCTGGCAGACAGAAGCTCGGCGGCTTCGCGGTGACCCGACGGGCGGTAAGAGCTGTGTCGGCTCCCATCGGCAGCAGAGAGAAGAATGAATTTAAAACCGTAATCTGTTCAAAAAAAAAACAAACTACTATTATTCAAGGCTGGCATTTATTCCGCTATAGTCATTAGGTGTTTTTACACTCATTAGTTATTGCTCTCACCGTCCCCACAGTGCATGCAAATGGTATAAAAATGGTAAATTCCAAGTATTCTGAAAAGAAAATACACAGTTAGGCCCATGTAGGTTTGCACACTGACACAAATCTTGTTATTTTAGCTGCTCACTGAAAAAAAAAAAAAGACTTTCAGCTTCAAGTTGAAGGTTCGTGCACCTTGATCGAAGAAACAGGAATTACATCTCTTTAATAATTAGCTCCTGGGTAAACATTTGACTTCAAAGCTGCTGTGTGGACACGTGTGGTGGTATTCGCTCATTATATCTTCATCAATTAAGCATTTAAAAGGTCTGGAGTTGATTCCCAGTCGGGCATAACGTGATCAAAGAAGCTGCATAAACAAAACAAATAAAAAAACTATTTAGAAAAAATGCTACTTTGTCCAGATACGTTTGAGAATGTGGAAACAGTGTTTGCAATACCTATAATATCTAATATTTTCTGGGAGATTTTCAGCTTTTTAAATTAAAGCTGAAAGCCGACACTTCAATCTGATCAAGGTTGTTTCATTTCAGATCCGCTGTGGGGATGTACAAGAGCCGTAATTATGAAAATTGCATCGCTGTCCAAATATTTCCGGACCCATATGTGTTCTGACAGAGCAGCAGCTCAAGTGATAGTTCGATAAACATCATTTCATAAAGCAATTAAGGCATTTAAATTACATCCCGGCACTGGCATTGACAGGCAAGAAATGCCTAAAAGTTTAGTTTTGTTTGAAACTGGTACTTAGAAATAATTATGGTGTATTTTGTATGTGAAATAGATTCTTATTTTACCCAGCAGTGTACAGAATGCGCACATGCCAGATTATCACCATAAGAGCAGCTATGTGTTCATTCCACTGCAGGGAAGATGTGATGCTCTCTGCAGAAAAACAGTTCATATACTGGAATCAGCAATTTGCCAAAATGAGATGAAAAATATCAGCTTATCAGCAAAAATTTCAATATTGTAAATCTTTAGATTAAATTCAATATAATGTTCTGCTCTTTGCTCAGTTCATCCCTCTCTGGGTCATTGATTAAATCAGTGGTTCTCAAGCTGGGGGTAGGGACTCCCATGGGGGTCCCAAGATAATTTTAGGGGGTCGCCAGATCATTGTAAATAATAATAATAAAGCCTACACTTAACAAATAAATGTGTATTAGGGCTGTCAAAATTAAGTGTATACTTCTTCCCACTCCTTTTTACAACTTGCTAATATCATGATTTGATTATGCGATATTATTATTCTTTTTCGCTCTTTTATTATTTTGCTTTTGTATTTTTCCCCGTTTTCATTTGTTTGAAATAAATTCAGTTCATTCATTCATTCATTCAAAAGAAAATCAACCTGTTAATTTACAGAGATTAATCTGTGGAATTGACACATTCATTAATGCATCAATGCATGAACAACAAAGTTATTACTCATGCCATATTAAAAATTATAATGGGGGGGTCATGAACACACACCTATATTATCTTGAGGGTCGTGGCTCACAAAGTTTGAGAACCATCGGATGAAACCAGTAAACGCTCGTCTCCGTGAATCAAATCTAGATTTTTTTCCCCCCATTAAAACAATCCCTTTCTGGCTTAACATGGTTTAGCTGAGACTGCACTCCACCACTTCCTCCAGAATGTGCTGATGTATGAAGTCCCACCTCACTGCAACTTGAGCACACCAGCTCAATGACAACTCTGCTCAAACACTGCAAAACTACCCTACGCAGTGGTTAGTTGCAATATTGGAGTAATTCACCCATAAATGTTTAAAATGCAAACTGATTCTGCAGAACGACACAGAGCCCCGTCCCCGAACAGGATTGGCTCTTCAGGTTTGTTCCATATGAAACCCTGGAAGTCTGAATCTGTGTTTTTGAGTTATCGGCACACTGGAAGTACAAAAATACAAAAGATATGTCTTCTAGAAAAAGAAAACGTGGACATGCGAAGACAGTTAAAAACTTGATTTTCACCAAACGTCATCTTTAAGTTCATTATTTTTCCATAATCTCTGCTCAGACAAAATGTTCAGTTGACTATAACACAAACTTAAAATGTTGTAGACATTTGTAGTTTATCTTGAATTCTTGAAAACTGGCTTCAGGGTTTTAAAATGGTAAAAAAACAAGCAACTTCAGGTCGAGCACTGCACTCCTTTGGGTCATTCCAATATGAATCTGTTTAATTTGGTGTATTTTCTTTCCAGTTTTCAGCTCCTTTGTTATGGTTCTTCTACAGGGATAACTTAACAGCTGCATTTTTCAACTGTTTGTCAGAAGATAGGCTCCTATTTTAAATAAGCTGCCCACACAGGCTACATATAAACCTTTAAATGCAACCCGAAGCATTTTATTTTTATTTTTTTTTACGCTTCAGATCCGTTTTCCTGCTTGTAAGCATGTACCTGCAGTGACTACGTATCCACTCAGCACTGTGCCCGAGCAGCAGCTGTGGAAACCTACTGCTCACACTACACCTCCTGTGTGGACACGACTTACGGCTATAATTTCTCAGATGCTGGTCAAAGACCTGCAATAAAACATAGCCAGAACACTGCACTAATACAGGAAACCATAACTACAAACAGTGCCCACTGAAGAACACATAAATCTTGTGCATATAACAACTGTCTGAGCCCTATTCAGGCATGAGTGAAAGATGGCACGGTGCACAGAATTTCTGAGTCCGCCGGGCTGTGTAATGCCACGGTGATTATTTTCCGAAGCTCGGGAAAATAAAACTGTCAGGCCGCATAAATCATAATTAATTGTAATTAATGGAACCAGTTTTGGTCTGATCATCGCATAAATCGCGGAGCCCATTTCTGGTAAAAAAAAAAAAAAGAATGTAGCTACTCACACTTTGTAATTGATGGCTTCTCTGAATGCATTTCAGGCATTTAATCATCTATGTAAATGGGCTGCATTAGTCAGGAAATGATTAAAATAATGGAATTCTACTATGAGAAAAACTATAACAATTACACAACTAATGGACTTCCCAATATGTTGTAAAAGTTTAGATTAAGCAAGTCTGAATTAGACTGGAAAAAAAAAGAGGACAGAGAGAAAAACATTGCATCTCATTCCCGGGTTTGTAAACAGAGAAACACACGAGGAGCCCCGAATTACACACTATATGAAATTTATTCCATTGGTAGTAATGTACAAGAATTATAAAGCTGCTTTGCTTCACACCCTCCAGATATACTGCTGTACATATCTGCTATCAAACATGGACTGTGCTCACAAATACACCGGGGGCTTAAATAAAACATAGCTAACAGAAAGCAGTAATAAAAATAAAAGGAGGGGAATGTGGGGCACAAAAGAGAAAAAAGGTAAATATTGGACACATTTTGCTCGGTTTCTGTTGGGTTAAGTCTGTAAATATTTAATGGTACAAGTAAAAAAAAAAAGCACAGTAACTAAAGTCTACACACTTTCAGGGCCTAAATATCACCGGCCATATCTGATATGACATCGGCTGCGCTGTACAGAGTAATATATCAGATCTCGCACGATTATCATCCCACCTCTGCTTGTGTTACATTAACATGTCGCCTGACACTGAATGCTTGACATATATTAACAGAGCAGAGTAAATGATAATTGTGAAAACAGGAGGAAAAAAAAAAAAAAAAAAAAGAGAGAGAGAATTTTACACGATCTTGCACCTTCTTTCCTCATCCACTGAGAAGAAGCAGCAGCAGCAGCGACTAGCTCCTCGTCGTCTGATTCACGTGGACTCTCACTCCTTCCTGCGTTTCTTGTCGTGGTAGTCGTCCTTGGAGCGGTTGCTAGTGGACGGTCTCTTGGAGCCGCCGTGCTGCTTGGCCTGCTCCAAGAACTTATCCAGACCGAAGGGATCCTCCTCGAACTGGACCGGCCCTTCTCTCCTCTGCGTGTGGTCGGCGCCTGAGAACTCTTTGTCTGGAGCAAACCTGATAAGAAAGGAGAAGATAAATCAGAATTCGCTGCAAGTTCCTGCTTTCGTTGATAAACTGCGCTCAAGGTTGAAGCGTTTTCTACGAGAAGCAAACTAATGCTTTTTTTTATGTCTCAGGAAAATTCGCTCAAGTCAGAAAATGTTTCCAACTTTGTGTTTTGCACATTGGCGCAGCACCCTGTGGCCAACCAAACATTCCTAGAGGACAATGACAAGCTGGTGACTAAACATATGGGACAGGCTATGCTCGGCTAGCGGAGTGTTGCACTGCTGCCCCAAGGACAAGGGCTCCTGCTGGGACTCGATGTGAAAGCTTGTCCCGTGCCTCAAAATAAAGCTAGAATGACCTCGAAAATGTTTTTTATTTTTTGAGGGGGGGGGGTTATTATTACTTTTTAAAATCACAATTTAGAAGGTGCTGTCTTTTAAAGATGGTGGAGGATTAGCTCTCTTGTTGGTAGCCTGATCCAGACTGTAAGTTATTAACAGGTCACTCAAACAAGATCCAGTCACATAAATAAAACATGAAGCTTATTCATTTAGCCGTTTCATTTCACAAGTGTAGTTTTTTCACGACTCGCTTCAAAACACTGGCTGATCACAAAGCTCACAGTCTGGATCACATCACAGCTTTCTGAGTCATGGATCAAATCATTTGTTGGATCAGAGAAAAAAGGAGAAGCATAGCGCCATGACTGTCTCATGCTTTAGCTCATCAGTGCATCAAGATTTGGGGAATTATGTGTCTCTGAAGCCAGGTTTGTCTTCAGTACCATTTGTTTGTCTGTCTGTGAGTGAAGCAAAACTACCAGGCATTGGTCCAGATTAGGGGTGCAACGATACACAAAAATGGACGGTTTGGTTCGACATGTTTTTGTCACAGTTCAATACTTTCTCGATACAAAAAAAGAGAAATTTCTTTGCCTTTTTTTATTTGTTTTTGAAAAATTCAATGTATCTGGTGCAGCTCTGACACATGTTCTGCTGTGCATACTTAGCACCATATAAAACATAAACAACGCCATTTAAAAAATAATAATAATAAAAAAATAAACTTTTCTGATGGAGAAATCACCCACCTTCTGTCGCGCATTCTTAGCAGCAGAGTATATCATACAAAAAAATTGTTCCTTACAAAATAAAGCTGTATGATGCCCATCTTCTGGGGTATATTCTCAGCAGCACATTAAACAAAAACAGCTCCTTATAAAATAAATCACTCTCTGATGGAGCTACATCTCATTCATCTTCTGGAGAGCTAATGTCTGTCTAAATGACTCGGGTAGAGTTTGTAGCATGTGTGCTGCTTGTTGTTTTTATCTGGTTGTTTTCACAACGGGGTGATGTCGGCGTAATTCCGTATTTGTGTCTGTTGTATTTCCACCAATGTAACTTAGCATCGAGTTACACCGGTGACACAATGTTGTATTTTTTTGGCCACGACGCACTTTCCATCAGAGTCACACCAAAACCAAAGACGCAAGATCTGAAGGACAGTGGAGGATCTTCAGGTAAAACATTAGCCATGTTGCAACGAACTAGCCTCACATGTAGCCTCTGTCTCAGCAGCTTGGACTGAATAATTGTGGGAGACGCACACAATCAGTGGATCTGCGCTCGACAATGCAGCCTGAAGTAGTCGAGCGCAGATACACTGAGGTCAGCACAGAGCGCTTCGTCAGAAGTTGATTAAAAGAAATCTTAAATTGCGTATTGTTCGATTAATAGGGCGTACCGAACCAAGACCACTGTTCGATACATCGTTGCACCCCTAGTCCGGGTCACTTTCTCTGAACTAGTCCTAAGTGCCCTTCTGAAAATAGAAGCCGCAAAACTGTATTTCACTCTATGATGGTTAAACTTACTAAATTACCACAAATTTTTTTTGTGTGTCAGCATCAGGTAAAAAGATGTTACGTCATGCAAGTATAGAAATGAGTCAAATAAAGGGAAACGGTATTAAATAAAACAAAAATTCAATCCACAGCACCTGTTGTCGCGCATGAGTGTTTCAAAGTCATCCGTGTAGGTGTCTTTGTCTATGTTCTTGCTGGGCCTGTAGATGTTGGAGGCCATGTCTCTGCCGCTGCGGAACGGCTGGTCGTACACGTTGTATGTCTCATCTTCACCGCCGGCAAATCCACTGTCCATACCCTGGAAAGAGAAACAGATTATAGGGGGTCTCAGTCATCTACTGGGGCATTTAATTACTCACTTAAGTGTTTAGCCAGTCATGTTTAAAGTTCGATCTGCACCAAAACATAAAACACTGGAGGCTTTATCATTTCAAGCCAAAACAAACCATTTCAGTGTCGCAGAATTTCTGCGTTACAGTCGATATGACGTGTTCTCACCTTGCTCATATTGAAGAGACGCTGGTCGTACTGAGCCTCGCTGGAGGAGCGAGGGTTGGGTTTGCCCAAAGCGATGAGCTCGCTGATGTCCCTGTCCTGATCTCTCTGCAGCTTCGACCTGTGACGAAGAAAATTTTAGTCAAAACTTTTAATTCCCTGCAAAAACGAATGACAAACACAGCACAGAGATGTAAACACAGAAACTGATAGCAGAAAGCAGCTCCATGATTACCGTAATGTCCGGACTATAAGCCGCTACTTTTTTCACACGCTTTGAACACTGTGGCTTAAACAATGATACGGCTAATATATGGATTTTTATGAATTTGCCTCGAGACGTAAGTGACATTGAGAGCGACAGCGAAAGAGACTGAGGAAGTGTGTGACGACATAATTCTGACGCTGTTCAATTCCGACACTGAAGAAGACGACTTTAGTGGTTGCAGTGCAGGAGGAAGATGAAGATAGCGATCAATGACTTTTCCTGGTAGGCTGCAGTATTTTTTATCTTTTTAACCAACTGTGTTACAGGCGCTGTTCGGAAAAAAGCATTTACGGTGTTTGTGTATGTTAGCAGTACGTATCTAATTAAAGTTAAAAAAAATATTTCTGTGTAAATATCTCATGTTACAATGTGGACACCTGCAGCTTATAGACAAGTGCGGCCTTTATATGTACAAAATTTGTTTTCTTTTAGGTGTGCTCAATAGTATAGAAATTACGGTGATATCAAATTTCTATATCTACAGTGTAGCGTCAAAAATCTAAAGTCAGAAAAGACTTTTTCAATTTCACAGTGCTGTGTTACATAATATCTAAAAATATATTGGCTTAAAGTTTTATGTATGACGACAGGCGTACCACTAAGTCACTTGTAAAACGCTTCCAAAAAGTGCCGTGAGTTCGCCATTAAAGCTTTAATTTATGTGGAAATATGTGTCGGTATTAAATGTGAAAGTTTTTCATCCGAGTTCTTGGCGACTTTAACATCTTGATTGTCCTTCAGCAAACAGCCACCTCAAAGTTAAGTGAAAGGTAATTTTAAGATAACAAGGTCTCTGCTTTCTGACAGCTGGAATTGTGATTGTAATGAGCTCTCCTCTGAATTTCACTTTCTCCACTTCTCCAGGGAGCCACAATTCCATCAACTGACAAACCTGACAGTGCGTGCGGGAGGCTTAACACACAAATACACACCAATCACGCATCCCACATGCACAAACAGTCTGCGGATCCTTGCAGACAAGGAACTGCCTGAGCACTCTTGCTGGATCCTGCTGTGTTTGTGCAGTATTACTGCTGGCCCCATGAATGATTCAGCAGTGAGCAGTGCATCTGTGTAACTATGTGTGTGTGTGTGTGGAGAGAGAGGAGGGGTGGGTGAGTTCACATGTGGTGTGTTTAAAGTGCGTGTCCAGCACCTCTTATCAGGAGCAGCCCGGGAAATGTTCCTGTCGTGCTGTCTCTCTTTCCTTCTGTCCTGGCGGATCTCATCACGCTCCCTGGCCTCGCCGTCCTCGCCACCTGCAGCGTGAGACGGAAGAGGGGGGGAGGGGGGGAGACAGACGGGTGGTAAGACGGAGAACGGGGTGCAAAAAAAAAAAAAAACAAAACCCAAAAAAGTAAATTTTAGAAACAAGAAGGAAAACCACATGAGGAGAGGAGGTGACGTGAAATGGTGCAGAGCAAGTGCAGAGGTGCAAATAGAAATGGGGATAGAGGAGAGAGGGAGAAAGACAAAAGGTGGTGTTGTAGGTGAAGTTAGGGGTGATTTCAACATTTCCACGGTGTAAGATTTCAACAAATACGAGGCAGGGGATTGATACGCAGCAGGGGGAGAGAAGATAAAGTGAAGAGGAACTGTCAGTCATCGTGCCGGTTGATGGATGCCGGAAAGTATATTACAGAAAATTTGAAAAAAATGTAAATTCAAGTTTTCATAATCTTAGTCAATGTCCTGTATCTAAGTGGTCATTCAAAAACGTGTAAAAAAAAAAAAAAAAAAAAAAAAAACAAGACATGCTACGCCGATTTCACTTCCTCAAAAATATATGTAAATTATCAGTGGGGAAGCGGAAACATCATTTCACAGCTTACTGGTCCTGTCAACACTGGCAGAGTGAAAAATGTTGTCATCACTTATGCCAGTCATGTTCCAGATTTGGAACCGGCAACGACACTGATAACAGAGTCTGCTCTACTTGCTCGGGAAACGACACACACCCGTATATACACACACACACAAGCTTGTCATATATGCCTGAATATTTACAATCTGTTAAAGTAAACCTTTTTCTTCTCGGCTCTTATCTTTAGGACTCACCTTTGTCGCCGCCGTGACTTTTAATCCCTGCCCTGCGGTCTCGCGCCATTTGAGCCAACTCCCTGAGCTTCTCCTCCTTCTTTTCCTTCTCCTTCTGAGCCATCTTCTTCTCGACCTGGGCTCGCATCTCCACCGCCTCTCTGGCCTAAAGACACAACCAGCGTGTAAATATGAGCGCATTTCAAACAGCTGAACATTTCTGATCCAACCACTGACAATCACGCATTACCTTTCTGTCAGCAATATAGAGGGCTTCAGCCAGCTTTGCAAAGTTTTCGTTGATGTGAACCGTTTGGAGACCCCTGCCATCAGCAGCCAGACGTTTGTCGAGAGGAATGGTGTAACCCTGAGAGAAATCAAAGCGCATAAGAAGGAGGAAGTGAGCAGAGAAAAGAACAAAAAGCTGTGTTTTGACACCTCAAAAAAATGCTCCCTATTAAGTCGGGTGTCACATTACCTTGGCGTTCTTCCAGTTCGAGATGCATGGAGGAATCTTCCACTCCTGCTGCTCCTTGACAGTCATCTGCAACGAAAGGGAGAAACTCTCTCAAACAGTGCAACCAAACTAATTTTGATTTATGAAAGCACTGAATGATCAAAAAGCAGAACACTTCTAACATTTCAGCCAAATCTACCTTTCTGCTTGGTGAATGCATGACAGGAGCCGGGGGAGAAGGAGGTCCTCGAGGAATCTTCTTGTTGATTCTAAAACACACAATTATTCACATTTTATTTCACCATAGTGTGGAACATTTAGAAAACTCTTATTAATGGAACTGATGGCAGCTGAGTGAACGGTCAGTGTGGAAGTTTGTGTTGGACTTTGTGCTTTTAGAGACATTTCTGGCCGACTCCATTTCTGAGCTAACATTAGCCAGTGTTGCACACTGTTGACACAATAGGGGAGTGAAAGAAAAGCATTGAGGAAAAGCACTTCAGAGCGAGCCTAAAGGCCAGTTCATGGTTTCCTCTGCACACATCGATGCAGACTTTCAAAGAGGACAGCGGACACATGTGGTTCTATTCATGCTACAGTACTTCTAACAGACGTTTGCATCGCTCATCATGTCGGACACAGAAAATTAAATGAAACTCTGAGGATGTTTCTGACAGGCTGTGACTTTGTGCTGTACACAGGACATGGCTGCTGTTTACAGACTGAGCTGTAGCACTGTGTGAATGTGATCATTCCTAAGGTGAGCAAACATAGCGCAGGGGGTCTGGAAAATTTAGAGCTTCCCATTGTGGTGCACACCGTTGATGGAAAGCACCACTTCAATAAAATTATAACTCTTTTATTGACAAGTAATTAAGTGTGGATGACCAAGAATCTTGCTGCACAGCCTCTCTACTTTATAAGCATTTGTGAGAAATGCTATTTGTTTCCTCGACCATGTGCAGTTGTACATTAGGTCCACTTGGCCACAAATTTCGGGCTGCACGTGGACACCCGAGGGCCCTCGCAGACAAGCAGAAAGCATGAATTGGCTTTAAACATCACATCACTGGATTCTTCCAAAAACTTAATTCTGAGTCCTCTACATTGAAATCTGTCTGAGCTAACACCGTCTCTTATAGCCAACTAAGAAAGTCGGGAAGATCAACTTGTAAATTAATTCACGTTCTTGCATATAGTACCTTCAAAAAAAAAAGAAAAACGACCCGGTTTGATTGAACAAAAAAATAACAAAGGTAGAACAACTTTTGACTGTCAAGTTTCAAATGATGCGTTTCATAACGACATCTTTATAAAAGCATTACGATACACACCAGAGGAAAACATAATGCTTAATTCAAACTGATTGATCATCATAACAGAACTACAAATGATCTAATAAAGAAAAACCATCAAGACATTATAAATGAATACAAGACTGACTTCATGAATTAGTGTCAAAAGACCTAACAAAAACACAAAATTAGCATAATTCTGATTATATTAAATACCCTGCGTGATCAAATAAATTGGTCGCCAGGCACGGTTTCAAGTTTCCGTGAGGTGAGGCATGTTTACTTACTTAAATCGCGGCGGCTCCATGGGGTCTTTCTGCATTTCCACCATGCGGATCACTCTCTGTTTGGCCCCTGAGTTAAAAGCCACTCCCTGCTGGGATGGGGTGTACCTTGAAAACAGAAAAAGAAGAAACGTGTCAACAGGCATAAATCTTTACTCACGACCACAGACACAAATGCATGTGAAAGGCAGCTAAAGCTACACTCTTTAACGGTCGATTTAATCAAATCATGACCATCTAGTCTTTATGAACAGCTTTCATTTTGTTTATTTTACTTGAAAATATACAGATCAGTGTCTTATAATGCAGCGCTACATACATTTATGTTCTGATTGACAGTACGGCAGCATTTGAGTGACTGAACTGTACCTCCTCATACAAATTTATTGGACTGCAGTGCCACAGTACCTCAGACATCTACTACACACCAGAAAATTGCCATGTTTCATAGCGCTGATACATCCAACAAGCTGCTAAGGAGGCATAGGCTTTTTTGAAGATAGGCTTTCACTGCAACAGCAAGTATAAAGCAAGGGCAGTGCAAGTGACAGATAACATTTTAAACTGACAAGTACTAACTGGGAATCTTTCCTGTTGCCACCTTCAATCCTTTTTCGACGAGAACACAGCACTATATAAACTGGAAGTCACCGTTTTGAATGACATGCTGTGCAGCCGATACTTGTGCTGATAACAGTCAAACTCCCATACACACCTGATGTATTGTGCGGGAGCCTGTTTGTCTGCAGCTCTGACAGGCATAGCAGCAGCGATTTTTTGAGACACCTGCTTGTCCAGGGCAGCACGGGTCTTCTCTGTCAGCTACAAAGAACACACAACAACAACAACCATGTTTAAATATAAAAGAGGTTACTGCTGAACCCGCTAGATGACTCCAAATCTGAATACACCCTATTTTTTGATTGTGACAATAAAAACTAAATACTAAAACAGTTTTCTTCATTCTTTAGAATAAATATTTGATCACATAGTTACATTAGTGTTATTAATGTAGTGACAAGTGGGACAAAAATGGATCCAATCTGAATGTCCTCCATGGCAAAATGGTGTTCAGATCTACAGTCCTAAGAATAACTAATTCAGATAGCAACCTAACTCTTGGATGCCTTTACTGCACCACGTCTTACCTCTCGTACAGCCTCCTCATCAGGCTTCTGTAGTTCTGGAGTGTCTTCATTCAGAACCTCCTTTGGAAGCAGGTCGGTGTACTTACTGAAGATCACCTGCAACAATAAAGGGTGAGAAAATGTTAGAAACAACTGATTAATAAAAACAATGCCTCTTTCTGTAAACAAATGAAAGAATGTTAAAAGATAAAATAAAATGGAAAAAGATTGTGTATATGAGTAAAACACACTTCAAACTATTTTTGATAGTGTGACTGAGGTAAGGTGTGTATGCATGTAGGGGGCCTTATCACATATGAGCAGTCTTGGTGCTTTTGTCTTGCTTAAAGGAAAAATATGCAGGATTGTAGAAAGCTGGATTTTACTAAGTAAAAAAAAAATCCACCTCTCACTTTAGGTCTTCCTCCAAAACGCTTGAAAACATTGACTGCTGGACAACTAATCCACACATTACAGAGTGTTGGAACTACTACATGGCCAAAAAACTCAAAAAAGGCGACATCACAGTGCTTTCAAACTGTCCTGTTCAAGGCTAACATAAACTAACATAACATAAATACGATCAAGTGACACTTGTTCACAACTCGTGTTCAGTGTAGACAGGTGACAAACATACAAACACATGCACGTAAACATACTCAAAAGAAAGTGAGAGTGGATGGTAACCATGAACAGTAAAAAGACTCTTGCATGGATAGAGTGAAGTACACGCAGGACTGTACATAGACAGACAGGTAGACCATCTAAATGACCAAATGATTGAATGGACTTTTAACGGGCCTCTGATTACCACAGAAACCAGAGACTGTTACCGTAATTATTTGGAAAAAAATCTGTCATCACTTGACAAATTGATTGATGTCAGGATGTACATAGACTTTTAACAAATACACCAATAAATGCCACTGGAACACAATAGTGGTATTAACAATAACACGCTGGTAAATTTAACAAGCTGTATTTTATCAAAGGCAGTGTCAATGACAAGTGCTGAAGAGAAGATTAGGGTTACCTAATTATTCATAGGCATAAATACAAAGAAGTGTTGAGGGCAACCTTGCTGACTGGTGATACAATCGTTTGTTTATATACCTTATCTTTCCCCTGTCCTTGTCTGGCAATGGCATCATATTTGATCTTTCCCTCTGCATCCACTTGCACTGCCAGAGCGTTGGATGTCTTCTTCTTTCTGCCCATCTCCAGAGGAAACTGGGCCACATGGATCTCTGGGAAAGCTCCTCCATCTCCAAAGTCCTGCAGACACAAAGGATTTACAGCAAAGACATGAAGATAGACTCCGGGTTTACATACTGTAGAATAAGTCTCTCCAACACAACTAAACAAAAACGTTAAACTCTTTGATTAAATCTGACGTTTACCTCAAGTGAGCGTGGCACCCAGCCTTTCCTGTGACCGTACGGAGGAGGCTCTCTGCGGGACGAAACTAAGGCGGTGGAGTAGGACTTCTGGGCCCGGAGCCTCTCCTCTGCCTCCAGCTGGTCCTGGGACAGCTGTGTCGGCGCCGGTAAGAAGCTGGACACACAAGAATATTTATTTCAGTGTTACTGTTTTGAGCAGTAAGCCAGAAGGTTGTAATCCCTCGCTACCGTTAACCGGTACTTACAACAAGTAGCTTTGACGCTAACAGAGCTAACAACGCTATTTGTATTGTTTAGGTGGCTGTAAACGCCAAAAAGCTAACTAACAGTCAATTTACAAGGTTGAAGAATCGAAGTAAAGCGCATATTTACATCTACTGCCCCTACACAGCAGATAAACATGTAATGTAGCCACGGCTGCGTGCTGCTAAGTTAGCTAACGCTACATGCTCAACGCTTTGCTTACGACATTTTGACAAGCTAGCCTTTGCTAATACCGTTAGCTTTGACCAACACAAGGAAACGACAGCGTGCAGACCAGAAATTTTAATTTGAAATATTAGGCGTAATCTATTACTAGTCCAACACAATGAGAAGCCGACATCTAATGACAATTTTGTAAATTATAAACACAAAAGGCCTTGTCGAAGGACTCACCTCGCTAGAGACATTTTCTCCTTTCTTCCTTAGCAATGAACTGCGCATGCGCGGTGACAGCAAGCGTACAGAACAGAATAAACTAGAACAGAATAGAATATAATAGAATAGATTATTTTTCATGTCAGTAATTATCACTTTATTTATTATTTGCCTTGACTTTGTTAGAAATTCAAAAGGCAGTAAGGAAATATTTTTTATACTATTCTATAATATATACATTCAAATAAAAGCCCAAATAATAAAAGCAATATACCCAATAAGACCCAAAGTGAAGCTCAAGACAAACCCATTATGAGCTAAAGTCACCAATAAAAATTAAACTAGTGGTAAAAAGCAAAGTAGATAAGACCGGACAGAAAACTACAAAAAACTAAAACAAAAAACACCTTCCTTTAGGGAACCAACTCAAATCAAATGTTGTATAGTTTCAGTAAAGTCAGTTTGTGAATCCAAAACACTGCTGAGTACAACATTTTTTGTTTAGTTTCTAAAATTTATTTGGGGTATTTGAGGTTTTATGGGACTTCATGGATGAACCTTTTCTCCTCACTGGCACCTACATCTCTTCTCCTGGACTATTTAAAGGGTCACTCACCCAAATTACTGTTAAATAGAATCATTATTAAAAATTAAAACGAGCATTAATAACCTAAAGAAATACCAGTTACCAAGTTGCCAAGCCTAGTGTAGCTCAGCGTTTCTCAGGTGTTTTTGTCACACCTTTACACGTGATTCAAGCTCCTAATCACCACAGAAAAGATCAATTCTAAAGCACACCGTTCAGTCTAGCGAGCCTGCACTTGCTGTGATATAAACTTGGAACATGAGTTAAGCATAGAAAGAAAGTGAGATGACCTTACTTAGCCTACAGCACAGTGTCCCACATTTTATATTAATGTTGCATTGAAAAAACTTAAAAATGGTGCAGTTAAGAGGTTAAAATTTGAAGACTACTGGGCTTGCCCTTAATGTTTCAAGATCCGAACAACGCCTCTGCCTTTTTAAAATGTGATGCTCAATGGCATCAATATTCATGGCGGTAAAGTCTATTTCGGCAGGATGGAATTGAACTGAGTTGAACTGACCTGAACTGAACTGAATTGAATTAAACTGTTTACAAGCAGTGTGGAATTCTGCTTGTAGTTTCTCTTCAAAGTGATGAATTTCATGGAAGAGTCCGTTCAGATACATCAAAGTAGTGCAGGAGTCTGTTAACAGCAAACTCAGCAAACCAACTTGTGCAAATCTTTGCTTACTCAATCTAGATATTATGTTATTTAGTGAAGTGATTCTCTTTTTTATAAACTGAATGTCCATGAAGTTAGCCAGGAATTATGTTTGAAGAAAAGGCTTTTTTTTAAAAAATCATGTTATGCGACCACACCCATAATAATCAATAATGAAGAGTTTTATTTAAGAAAATCTGCACGAGCAGAAATGTCAGCGTTCAGCATCTCAGGCTCTTTTCTAACCTTACAATGTGAAGCTTCACTCTGGGGATTTACTGCATTATTATTACTACAGGTTTTCAAGTCTTCATTTACCTCTGAGCATAAGAAGGAGGTTGGAAGACATCTTCCTCTCTCTCTGTATATATACTGAGGAAAGATTATGTTTTACTGCTTGTCATAGTAAGAGTCAATCAATTAGGTCCTCACTGGAATTGTTTTATTCACAGAATCAGGGTGAATTAATTTCCAAATTGTACTCGTATTGTTGCAACATGAGAAGTATAAATAACTGTGAGGAACCTAAATGCATCATCCACAGATCTACAAAAAAGATAGACCAACTAATAAACCATGATTAGACTCTGATGTTTGGCTCAAACTGATTAACTGCTCTTAATAAATGAGTCATAATAAAGAAGAAGAATTCGGTCTGAGGCTTATTTGCATCAAAACACACTAGAAAAGTACTCATGTTTCAAAAGTAATTCCTTGACAAAAAAAAGTGTATTAAACACATCTTATAATTCTAAAATAATTAACAATATTTTCACAATAGAAAATCCCCGTTTTAAGCTCACGAGTCCTCAGCTTCAGCGGTAGGGCATCGCAGTGTTTGGAGATTTAAAACTATCAGCACTGTTCTTGTTTGAGTGACAGATAAGAGGAACGACTTTGTGCTAAGAGTGTAAAATGATGCAAAATTTCAAAATTACAGATAAAAACTGTTATATTTCTAGTTTTTAGTCTGAGAAGCCAAAGTAGGTAGATTAGGTTAAAAAATGTGCACCTTTTATGCAAAAAAATTGACTTTTATGTGACTGAACTTGGCTAATAAATATAATTTCATACTTACTATATGTGATTTAAAAGCAGCATAACCCCAACATTTTTCTCCGCCATACTAGAAAAAGCACATGTTGCCAATAACATCAATGATTAAAGCTTCTTACTGTCTTTAACATATGACATCCCATCACCCCAGTCCTGGCTCTTCTCCATTGGTTTCCTTGCTTGTCATGGAATTGATTTTAAAATCTTACTGATCACTTTTAAAGCAAGTCTGTCTCTGGCTCCGGGCTACATGGCAGAAATGTGTCATTTGAGCCAGCTCGCAGCCTTAGATCCTCGGGTGAGGCCCGAGGCTCCGAAGCCGAGGCTTAAATCTAAAGGTGACCGTACTTTTGCCATCAAGGCCCTCAGCTTTGGAACAACCTGCCCGAGGAGATAAGGCTGCAGAAAGAATGCTAGGTGGGTGTCCTGAGCCGAACAAGGACACTTTTGCCATAATTGAATTTGTAATTATCTCATGAGCTTTAACAACAATTTAAAAAGCCCTAACTTGAGCAACATTTTTAATTTTTAATTGAGGGTTCCATGAAAAAAAAAAGAAAAAAAAAAAGCTTATTACAGTGGAAATGAGTTCTCGTGTACTTCCACATTTCTACATGACAGTCTCGCCTGCATGAGCAAATGATATGAGTGAGTGACCAAAGAGGAGAGACTATTTGGCCTATAGCAACAAAAAAAGAATGAAGTAGTGCCACCCCAGTGCAAGTAATAATCTCAGCATGACCACCCCTGTAAGAAGCGTCCGGCTCCATCACTGGCTAACAGATCACAGTGTGCAAAATCATTGTAAAATTGAGAGAATGAGCACCACATGCTAAATTAATTGTCTTTGTTTCTGCCATCCATGCTTTGCTACACTACATTTTTACTTATTTTTAAATAGATTTCAAACCGAGGCCGTCAGTAAGCGGAGCGATAAACCCCTCGCTCTCCTCCACACCAGTTGTGCAAACACTGCTCTGATATGTTTTTTTTTTAGTTTTCAGCACCATTAACTGGTTCTACTGACGAAGCAGTGAAGCAGCAGGAGCAGAAAGAGCGGCCGACATTATCCTGCGCAAAATAGCCAGAAGGAAACCCTCGAGCTGCTCCAGTCTGAGCTGCCATTTACGCATATATGTTTCACTTGAGACCAGCGAGCGGAGCGAGAACGTAAAAGCTTGCAGAATGAGTTTTTGCCGTGTAATGGGAGAATTATGTAATGTCACCATAATAGACCCTGATGTTGTGATGAATGCGACGAATATCTTGACTCAGGCTTTGCTGCCATAACGATCAGCAATAAAAGTGACATCCCTGCTCTGAATAACTGGTACTTGTAGGTCCTTCTCCTTTGCTTTTTGCTGTTTTCCGTCCTTCTTTCTTTCTTTCTTTCTTTCTTTCTTTCTTTCCCCTGTTCTTTTCCTCCCTGTCTCTGCCTCCCTTCCCTCCTCTGCCTCGGTGTTTCTCAGAGGAGGAGGCAGTCTGTCAGTCTCTCAGCAGAGACATACTTTATTAATGTGACACAGGGTAAAAGGACACGTCAAAGGAGATCAATCACCAGGCTGTGGCACGGGACAAGAAAGCTTTTAATAAACCCAATCATCTGGGTACTTCTCTTTCTCTCTGTTTCTTTTTCTTTTCATTTAAAAATTAAAAAATAATAAAAAAAAGAAGCCTGGCATTTGGCGTTGAGGATCCCTACGCCGTCCTGTTTCCACTCCCTGGACGTGCTGGATCAGGATTACTGATGGAGTGGGTGCTTTTTTTTCGCCACTCAACCGAAATATCCCTCCAGGGAGTTTGTAAGTGGTGCTTTAGATTTAGACTGATGGTTGACTTCAGTTTTTTGGGAACCTAAAATAACAGTGGTTATGTCACGTTCCTCAAACAGCAGCTTTAATGATCGACTTTCCCGGTGGGAGCCTCTGAATGAAACACACAAGCCTCGCGAGCGAAAGGTTACGGACGAGGCTAATTCTCTTTTATTTGAAAAGCAGCGTTTAATGGAATATATTCATCAGCTTAAGGTCAGGCCGTGACAACGAGGCTTTCATTGTCTTCACCATGAGGCCGGACTAACAATGGGAGTGAGCGTCCGCGTGTCCTGCCAGCTGTGGTTGCTTAATTTGGGGTCGTGACAAACGGCTCTGATGCGAGTCGACACGGAGGTGGCAGAGCTGCCGGCTATGTGGACGCTCGCGGCGATAGCAGCGTGTCGGGGGGCCGAGGAAGGCGACACATGCCCCGAGATAGCTCGGCGTACCCGATCTCCAGTGTCGCCGCGGGGCCTGGCGGGGCAGGGCAAGGGGAGGTGAAAGTGGAGGAGAGCGACGATCAACGGACACATGCAGGCGAACGCAGTCGTCATTCAAACGTCACTAGTCTGGGCACTCCACATGCATCACTCGACTGCGCCGAGCAGATGCTGTCCTGTGCATGCACCCGGTGGCACTTTCTGGATTTGAAGAAATGCAAATCGTTTTATACGTATTCACATAAAAAACACAAGTTCTCCTGCTGTCAAAACTGATAACCAAAGTCATCTTATGAGTTTTTAAAAATGTTAAATCAGCTGAGTCAGGTTTGCTTAACCTGAAAGAACGACTTCAGCAAAAAGTATTAATCAACAACTATCAAGCATTACAAAGTTTTCCCCCAAACGGCGCAGAACCTTAATTCAACCCATCATTTCCAGTCAAGTTAGGTGAACTCATGTTTATGACTTCTGCAGTGGTGTGGAAATAAATATTAGATGGTTGAATT